CAGCAATGCAATGTCATCGGCGAAGCGCAGGTTACTAAGGTATTCTCCATTAACGCTTATCCCTAACTGTTCCCATTCTAGGCTTCTGAAAACCTCCTGTAAGCACGCTGTAAATAGCATTGGGGAGATTGTGTCCCCCTGCCTTACACCCTTCTTGATTGGTATTCTGTTGCTTTCTTTATGAAGCACTATGGTAGCAGTTGATCCCCTGTAGATTTCTTCCAGAATGTTTATATATACTTCATCTACGCCCTGATTCCGCAGTGTCTGCATTACGGCTGATATTTCTACTGAATCAAAAGCCTTCTCGTAATCTATGAAGGCTATGTATAGTGGTTGGTTATACTATGAGCATTTCTCTATTACCTGATTGATAGTATGAATGTGGTCAATTGTTGAGTAGCCTGTTCGAAATCCTGCTTGTTCCTTTGGTTCTAATGTTTCCTTTACTCTAATGTTTCTTTACTTCTTTACTAATGTTTCTTTAATGTTTCTTTAATTCTAATGTTTTCTTTACTCTGTTAGCAATTACCTTTGTAAATAGCTTGTATACTACAGAGAGCAAGTTGATCGGTCTGTAATTCTTCAAGTCCTTGTCATCTCCTTTCTTATGTATTAAGATGATGTTAGCGTTCTTCCAAGACTCTGGTACCCTTCCCGTCAGGAGACACCTCGTAAACAGGGTGGCTAGTTTTTCTAACACAATCTGTCCTCCATCTTTCAGCAGATCTGATGTTACCTGATCCTCACCAGCAGCTTTGCCTCTTTGCATGCTCTCCAAAGCTTTTCTGACTTCTTCTATCATAACTGGTGGGGTGTCATCTGGGTTACTGCTAGTTCTTATAGTATTAAAATCGTGGTTGTCTCGGCTACTGTACAGATCTCTGTAAAACTCCTCCGCTATTTTAACTATCCTATCCATATTGGTAGTTATTTTGCCTTCTTTGTCCCTTAGTGCATACATCCGACTTTTGCCTATCCCAAGTTTCCTCTTCACTGCTTTGACGCTTCCTCCGTTTTTCAGAGCGTGTTCAATTCTCTCCATGTTATACCTTCTTACATCACATACTTTACGTCTATAATCAACTTCGAAAGCTCTGCCAGTTCTATTTTGTCTGTTGTACTTGACACTTTCATGATTTGACGCTTCTTAATTAGGTTCTTCGTTTCCTGGGAAAGCTTGCCAGTGTCCTGTCTAACTACCCTGCCTCCAACTTCCACTGCACACTCCGTAATGATACTCGTCAGATTATCATTCATTGTATCTACGCTAAGGTTGGTTTCTTCACTAAGAGCCGAGTACCTGTTCTGCAGCGACACTCTGAATTCCTGTACTTTCCCTCTCAGTGCTAGCTCATTGATTGGCTTCTTGCGTATCAGTTTCTGTCGTTCCTTCTTCAAGTCTAGGCGAATTCGAGACCGTACCATTCTATGGTCACTGCATCGTACCTTGCCAACCACTTCCACATCCTGCACGATTCCTGGGTGTGCAGTCATTATAAAGTCTATTTCGTTCTTATTTTCGCCATTAGGGCTCCTCCATGTCCACTTGCGGTTTTCCTCGTTTTCGGTAGAAGGTATTCAAAATCCACAATTATTGCGTTCTGCGAATTCTACTAGTAGCTCTCCTCTGGCGTTTCTAGTGCCGATGCCATAATCTCCTACTGCCTGGTCTCCAGCCTGCTTCTTCCCTACCTTTGCATTAAAGTCGCCCATCACTATAGTATACTGTGTTTTTACCTTACTCATTGCCGATTCCACGTCTTCATAGAAGCTTTCAACTGAAGCGTCATCATGGCTGGATGTAGGCGCGTAAGCCTGTACTACCTTCATCTTGTATCTTTTATTCAGTTTAATTACGATACCTACCACCCTTTCATTAATGCTATAGTATTCCTCTATGTTGCCAGCTATGTTTCTGTGGATTAGGAACTCCACTCCTAGTTCTCTTCTGTCTGCCAAGCCCCGATAGCAAAGGACGTGCCCATTCTGTAGCACAGTATAGGCCTCATCTGTCCTCCTAATCTCACTGAGCCTTATTATATCCCATTTAACACCCTCTAGCTCCTCGAATAGTACAGCTAGACTTCCCTTACTAGATAAGGTTCTAGCGTTAAACGTTGCCAAGTTCAGGTTCCAGTGGCGGCCTGTAGTCCAGAGATTCTTAGCACCCTTTGCTGCGTTGCAGATCTGACCGCCGCCATGGTCAGTTGCTTTGCAGCTGCTGGGGACTGAGGGCCGTGAGTTATTTGACGTATGCATGTGGGAGGTAGTGGCCAGATACTGCACCAGGGTGGCCAATCCTTCTCTAGTGAGGGAGTGCGTTCCTGGCGGTGGTTACCGGTGAGGCCGCACCCAGGCCTCTTAATGCAGTTCCATCAACACGCGGATTTTTTTTCTGGTTGGGAACTGCGCGGCACCGGGATTTGAACCACGGACCTTTTGCATGCGAGGCGGATGCTCTAACCACTACGCCATCGCCGCACCCTGTTTCATGTTTAATGTTGTAGGCCCGTGTGCTCAGATTTGGGTGCACGTTAAAGAACCCCAGGTGGTCTAAATTTCCGGAGCCCTCCACTACGGCGTCTCTCATAATCATATAGTGGTTTTGGGACGTTAAACCCCACATATCAATCAAATCAATGTTTCATGTTTAGGAGTACTCCAAATAAACAGTACATGCATGTGTGTATAAATGGGCTTCGTTTGAAATGTGGTGCAACAGCTCCGGCTTTGACACAAATATTTACGTCCGAAAATGTGCGGAAAGTAACTGCTCGAAATAAGTTGTTATGCTGCTCTAAAGTGAGATTTTAGTTGCTCCAGAAGCTGCGCTAAAATAAATTTGCTCAATCACATCACTGTTTATGTGAAGGCTGAGTCAGTTTTTTGCTTTACTGGTAAGCCTGGACCACTGCTTTTATGAGTGCATACACTGTAATGAAAGAAAAAATCTTTGATGCCTGCATTTGTCTGAAATAGGCTACGCCACAGTACTTTCATAACTTAATTTTGAAAGTGCTGAAATGATCGCCCTTTGTGCTTAGTTAATTCATAGTTACTTTTGGCATAGTCATACCACTCCTTTTTTATGTGATTTATTTCATAGCAATCACGAATGTTGTCTTTGACTGAGAAACGGCAAAATTGATATTTTGGAGCCGATACGAAAACACATTGACAAATGGTGAAAGTAATAGGCCATCATTGAAACTTTATCTTTTACAGCAAATGCTGTTATGAGATTACAACAAGGGCCGACCCTGGCGCTATACTTGTTCGCTGCCGCCACTGGTGTCTGTAACTCGGTATTGCACGAAATGAGTAAATACTAAATAAATAAGAAATACCGAGAACAAAATGGTAATCAAAACTGGGCCCTCTGCTTGACAGCCCAGTACTCTACCACTGAGCTACGCTCCTTTTTTTTTTCTTCATAGAGTGGGACTTGGTCGAGCTGTCTGAGCTACACCGGTGCTTGAAACTGTATTGCAAAACTGAGCCTGTGCATGCTTCTTATGTGGCAAGAAATGGCACTAACATGTGTAATAAAGAGGGTTAGAAGACTAAAGTAACAACCAGGCATCACACAATGCGAATTGTGTAATGAGTGGGTCGTTGAATCTCCCAAGTCATTATTAAAGTCTCAAGCATAATTCTTGAATAATGGCATAGTATATGCTTTCCCATATCATATGATGATTTATAGCGTAGTCTGTACTGTGCAAATGTTCTTGTGGTAGTTGCCCGAAGAATGTTTAAAAAAGGCTCTAGAAACGCCGCTCTTCCAGCTTTTTCTGTGACTGTGCTGTGCGTTCTGTGCAGGCGTGGCTGTTTTTTTATGTACTTTTTTAAACTCATGTCAGTAGTGACAACACGCCTGATGAAATAGGTGGCAACCTTCTTCTCATCTATGCAATCGTCTTGTCACGTATTCGATAGTATATAAATTGTTTCAGCAATGGCCTTGTTCCCTCAGTTTTTTGTGAACAAGGTTTTCATATGGGCACAGAAATGTCCATTTCAATTTTTATTTTGATTTTTTTTTGTCAATAACTCGGGGTAGTCAAAGTTTGACACCACTCTTACCAGCAATGCAGGCATTGAGGGAGTTCATGAATAGTCAGTTTTCGCCTGTAAAATGTGCACTCTACACCTGTGCAGCAGTGTTTTATTGCAGGTGATTTTTGTGGTATTGTGATTTTGTGCAAGTACAGGGAGATATATGTCTGTGCATTACTTGCAGAGGGCCTGTGCCCTGCATGCCTTGTGATGTCAATGTTGCCTTGAAAGTGGAGCAAAATATTTATTCTGAACAAACTTTGTTCTCTCTAAAGGGAACAAGAAGCTACGACTCTTGCTGGGGAAGTTGACAGCTTTGGGGTCAACAGAAGCTGCAAGGATGAGCTAGTGGGGGAATGTTGGCTAGGGCATAGATCTGCATAATCTTTGTCCTTCCAGCTTCAAGCCTTTTGTGACTTCACAAATTGTTCACCTCCGACTAAATATTGTTTGATAAGTGACATTTTACAGAAATCCAGTATGTTGTGCATATTCATATTGCCTTGAGTTCATAAATACAGGACTTCTCCAAATTTAGGCCCATAAATGTAGATGAAGTGCAGTGAATAAATTCACAAACATAAGACAATTTCACCAACTACTAACCGTCATATTCATGCTAACTGAACAGTCACTGCACCAAAATTCTTTGTAGTTATAGCAAGATTTATTTTATGCACTTACATTGATGGCAACTAAAAAGGCATGAGGTTGTTGTATATTAGGGGTTGAGCATTAGTGGCATTAATTCTCATTCCACTCTTGACCCAAATTGTCCTGCCCCTCCCCTCTATAGCTTGGTGCAGTTGAATAAGAGTAGTGTGAAAGCCTCAGAAGTAGGTCTTGGGATTTGAGGAAGGGCCTTCAGGGCCCTTTTTATGGGGAAGCTAGGGATTGAATGAAATGATAGCTGTGCTGATGAATACATATTTACCCAGAATACATACACAAATGCGGAGAAGCTGCTGGCAGCTGCGGAGGAGTTGGCACAGACGGGAGAATGCAATGCAGATGAAATATGCGGTGTGGCCCAAGATTTGGAAGACCAAATTACCAGCTTTGCAACCCGTGTTGAGCAGCGGCGGCAGCTTCTGCAGCTGGCTGTTATATTTTTTACTCACGACAAAGAGGTAAGCTGTTTCATGAATCCTTGAAAACAATTATAGGTTGTTGTAATAGTGCAAAGAGCTTACCTTATATATAAGCCATAAAGGTAAAGTTGCATTCATGGATGTCAACTCATAACTGCTTATGGTTGTACATAATGCATCTTTTAGTGAATGGTAAATTCTTAACTGTTCCTAATAATTACCGAAGAATATCATCCTTTATCTGAATTGACAGAGTTTTGAGTTTTCAGATTTCAAGGAAGTCCCTGCTTAGTGTTATTTCCATGAAGTACAGGCGTGAGCAAAAGTGTGCAGATCACAGGATCGCATGGCAGAAGGCATCGACGTGCTATATAGTGACGGGACACCTGCTGCAGCGCACAAGCACGTCCACTCTTATCAGTTGGCCTCTCATACCGCTCAGAGCCGAAATAATAACTGGTTGCCCCTTTTTTCGCTCCATAAGATTTGTCCCATTATTTTACGTGGCAGCTGCGACAGGGCCGGTTCAAGTGCTGCGCTAAGGTTTGCCTTTTTAGCTAATTTTGCTCGGCTAAATTTAGGGATAACATAATCAACTATGCTTAATTAGATTTGGCTGTACTTATCTCGACCCATATGGGCATAACGAAGTATAACATGGAGAAGCTAGACTTGGCTTAATTAAACCTACTTACACCTGATTTTATTTGGTGATATTGTGTTCAACTAGGTTTGATTAGTTTTGGCTACACTTATACTGATTCAACTAGGCTCATTAAAGTTTACCTTGGCTTAACCCAACAAGGCAAGCTCGGCTGAGAAAACTTAATTTCATTTTCTTGGCTTCATCAGGTTGTGCAATGCTCTAGCTATGCTTAGTTATGCTAATCAGCCGGTGTAAATAACGATGTGAGCCCGGTGCTTGAACCCGTCCCGTCTCAGCCACTATGTAAAAGAACAGTACAAATTCGATGGAGCAAAGAAAGCGACGTCCACTAGTTATTTTCACTACAAGTTCTATAACCACGTCGGACAGAGTGACATGATAAGTCAGCTGATATGACAGGACGCGCATGCTCACCGCAGCAGGCGTGTCGTCGCTCGATGGCACATCGATGCCTTCTTCCACAAGAGCCCATGGTCAGCACACTTTTGCTCATGCCTGTACGTGTACATCACTGTGATCCTCTGTGTAAGCACGCACATATTCAGGTCATTGTTCTAAGGGAGACTATATACTTGTTAACACCTGAAGACATACTGTTGACTAACTGTGTTATTTTGTCTCAAATGCAGCTCAGCAGTTGGTTTGAAGAGCTGAGGGCAGAACTTCATAGCAACAAGGTGGCTGACTCTGTGGAAGCTGCAGAGCAGCTGCTGGAACAGTTTACTCAGCAACGTGATTCCACCATTGATGCTGCTGTCAGTACCATCAGTGAAGGAGAGACACTGCTTGAAGAGTTAAGGTCAGTCATTCTTTTTTAATGGTGACTCGGGCTTTGAAATGTCAAATCAAGCCAATCAGATGCTTGCAAGTACAGTAGAATCTCAATGATATGAATTCAAAGGGAGCAGGCAAAATATTCGTATCATCCCAAATTCGTATTAACTAAAAAGTCACAGTTTTGCCGCAAAGGCGGGACAATGAACGCGATAGCCACAAATTGGAAGGTCATGCTTGTGCAGAATGGCGAGAAGATCGAAACCTGCCCCGCATTTCTCACGCACAAATGACGCACAAATTGTACTCGTAGGTACGCAGGTGAACGTGAATAAGCGTCTCAGTTGTTACATAGCTGTGTCTGAAAAGCGCGGCCATTTCGCAAACGGAGGCTGTGCAACGATTGCAGTGACCTTTGTGCACCCCGTAACTACAACAGAATCGTTCCAGTCAAGCCCAATGCCAGCCAAGACCTATGATGTTCTCCGCTGGGAGATAAGAGTGCTCGAGAGATTGTCCACTTCTCTCCGCAAGCTAAAGTACGTTTGAGAGATGAGAGCCACCGCGCGCTCACTGCATCATCTTGCTGATAATGCAGAAAAAACGATAGTCCCCCCCCCCCCCCCCCCGAGATGCCGGCCAATAGCGGTAAGTGGAAGATATAAATAGCTTCCTGCTTGAACGTTGAAGGACGTACTTCTAGGCGGATCAGTGGTTAACGCCTCGCATTCATGACGCGGAGGTCCCACGTTCGATTCCGCGCGCCGAGGTCTTTTTTCTAGATTTTTTATTTCTTGCGTTTTCATGTATATAGATACGTATAGATATATGGTGCATGACATCGACGCCGATGCCTACGCCGGTGGCGAAATCCAGCCGAGAGTGTACATATAATTGCTATCGCAATAAAAACAATTTAAAGCTGATATTACAAGAACTTTATTTGCAACTACTTCTTGCTGAAAAAAGTCCATGATGTTTTGAGCTTTCCTGCCTTCACCGTCTCAATAAAGTGCCGCGGTTTCCACACTCATGCTGCTGCATGGCCGGTTCACACTTGACATCAAAGGGACCGAAAGCGGCCAAACTCATTGGAAATTCACTCGCCTCGCTGCTTAAGCGGTCGGAAAACTGCTGTGCCACGAAGTCTACACGAAAAAAGGCTGTCCTGAATAAGTCACACTGGAGAATTAAAGGGAAAAGGCCAAAGGGGCAGGAAAACTATGTGTACGTCTGCGCCCATCGAAAATGGTCAATTCGTTCTGCCCCTCGTATACGCCACCGCCGCCATCGCCGCTTGAGCATTCATTTCATTTTGCTTGTTTTCTGAGCTTTTAAGTTCATGCCGAGTTCTAGTTATACATGCAAAGCACTGAAAAGACAATTTACATCTTTACAAATGTTGTTTTGGAAGATATGCTAGCAGAGACGACATGAGAGGATGCAGCGGTGGTGACGGATTCAGCCGGCAGTGCAAAAGCAAGACATGTTAGGGCATGCCGTCACGCTGCTGCTGCACTTTCTTCTACTTACAGTGTTCTCAGTGATTGTAATCCAAACCAGGCTCTCAATGAAATGAGAGTTTTAACGTGCTGCATGGGTAGTTCGCAATACTGCCGACGTCTTTGCTGTCATGTTGAATTAGCAGCTGGTAGTTTACATCACGTGGTTCGAGAGCTAGAGCAGCCAGTGTAGCCAAAGCCGTGAAGCAAAAAGGCGATCTGCTATCACGTGATGAGAAAATTGGTCTCTGACCATTTTTTTTTCTCGTCAGCCTCGTGGAATGTTTTCCCGGCCACCAAAGCGAGAGAAATTCCGGTGAGTTTTGCCGCATTCACTCCCTTCGAGACCAAGAGTGAACAAGCCTTCCTCCACAGACAAGCCGCGTTGCACCACTGGCGTTCAGCGATCGACCGCACATTCGTATCATCCGCAGGTTTCATCGGCTCGGGAAGCCGTTCGTATAAGACCGAATCGCAGCATATTTTAATAATGTAGTCCATCCAAAACAACTTTCAAATTTGTATTATTGCGAAATTTACATCAACCGTAATCGTATCATCGCAATTCTACTGTTTACACAAGTTGGCAACAAGTAATTCATCCATGTAAGAAACAATTTCAACTACCCCCCAATAAATTAAAAAATACTGGAATAGAAATAATATCATTATTCAAGTCGCTTGGCATATGACGTATTTACTAGCGTAACGAACATACTTTTTTCTCGAAAAATCAGAGCAAAGTTAGCTGTGCGTTTAATATGGAGGGCAAATTTTATGAAAACTTTTTCGGTATGAGCAGAAAAATGCAGTAATGCAAAGAAAAAGTTTGGTTGCTCAGCTTCTTTGCACTTCACTCATATTCGGTTGTTGAAGATGCTATCTTCTGCAGGCTGTTCCCGTGCTGCCCGTGCATGCCATAAAAGCGTTCCGCGGCTATTTTTTCTCACAATCATTTAACCGCAACTGTGGTATCTGCTGGGATCTCAAGGGGCGCCCAGAAGCGTGCACTACAACCCCACGACACACTTTGCCAACTTCGTGCCAACCTCACGTGATGACAGCGCCGCCGCTGTTGACATTGTAGCAAGCAACCAACATTGCAGCAAGTTACCACCGAAGCATCAAAACAAACCGCCGATAACAAGATTAATGACAAAATACGGTGGCTGCCTAGCTTGCAACCGAAGCGAAAATCGGGGACCATGTTGCGGAAATATTGACGATCTTTTCTGAGTGACAAGCAGTTTCTTTCTGGTTTTCCAGAAACCTGCGACGCGATGGTGATGAATGACCCTTCGTGACAGTCATAGCGACAGCAAATTCTCTTGTTATCGCTCGAAAATTACGTTCGTGTGTTCGTGTGGTTGGGCCTAAAGTTTCGTATTTGTAGGAAGCGACCGTTGGTTGGCGCAGGAAGTTTCGTGACCTTCGCTCGCTGTGTGCTTGTCGGCTGTGAGGTCTCTACACTCCCATCATTCGTGAACCCCGCTGTGGCACATAGATATTTAAAAAATACTGCGTACGTGCCGTGCACAGATATGAAAACTATACGGCGCGCGGCAGCCGGCAAAGGGTGGAGGGAGTGAGCCGAGGTGGCCAAGGGGGGTCGGCATAATAACAAAAAATGGAAGAGATCCAACGGGCAAGGAGGCGCCAGTTGTCAGTTAGCGGGACTGCAGCAGACGCATGTAGGGGGTACATTTATTACGCGGGGAAAAGAAAAATCCAAACTTTGATGACTGAAGTTAGAGGTGCGTTTATTGTGCGAATGCGTTCATTATGCGAGTAAATACAGTATTTCTCTAAAACTATGTCATAGGATTGCCAAGTAAATCAGTAAGTAAATTATCTAGAGTGATAGGTATTTGCATCACCATTGTAAATATCTTATTACATCCATTAATGTGGTTTTATATAATTCAATGTTTCTTTCTCTTGTTCAGTTCGTAATTCTAGTGTGGGGGATGACTTCAGGTAAAAACATTCACAGACTTGCATGATTGCAAAAAGAACGATATGCCTTGTCTCTGGGTGCCATACCTTTGCCATACTGCTCCTTCTTACAAAGCTTAGAACTATGTATAAGAATTGAATCTTTGTACATATATAGGTTGTGTCGCATGTATAAGCGAAGCCCTCGGCCGTATTCTGCGTTTCTACAACGTCCATGTGGCACATGTCTCGGACCAAAAGCTACGACAATCGCTTGTGAATTTGAAAGACAGATTAGCCAAAGTGAAGTTCCTTGGTGGGGTGTACGTTGTCCTGTGCGTGGATTGTGACGATGTGTATATCGGTGAAAATGGTGACTTTGAACGGCGCCTCAAACAGCACATTTGGGACGTTTAGAAAGGAAATATCAACTTCAGTGCCTTGGCTCAGCATGCGTCAGGTGGTCACGCAATCAATTGGGGGAAGGCACGTGTTCTTGCTAGAGAAAAAGGACTGTCACGGCGTCTTTATGTTGAGTCACTCGTGATACAAACCACTCCGCGCACTTTAAACAGGAGCGATGGTAATCTGCCGTCAGTATATGCGCGTCGCCTGCGTGATATATTAAGCATGTATAAGGCGAACTGCTCTTTACACATGTTTTCATTTCACTGTGAACAAGGCTTCCGTGTGGGAGCCGAAACGTCTTTTTTCTGTGTTTTTCTTTTTGAACTTTTACTTTGGTCAGTGCAGTGCCTCCAGATTTTTTACCTTCAACCATGTACCATCCCGACCGGACGGGCTTCCGTCAAACTTTGAACTTGATGTATAGAAATGAAAAAAAAAAAAAAATTAAGAATGATGACGCTTTAACACAACTGGCACCCCTACAAAAACTTAATTCCTTTTATAAATTTTACTTTTAGAACCTTGGATTATTAACAAGAACAAGGCCCAATACGGTAGCCAAATTCTACAGTTTGGTTTGTCGAATGTTCTAAAATAATGACACAAGGAAACTGGTTTTACTGTGTCTGTTTTTTTGTTAAATGGCTATGCAACATATTTATGTGATGGCTTGCGCATCAGTTGTTCATCGGTCTTTTATCGGTTTTTCTTTTCCTCTGTCTTCACCACTCTGCCCGTTTTTCTTTTTTTTATACTTCAACTATGTGAAATGTTTCCAGGATAACTTTGTTTATTAATTCTAACCGTGGTTGTTCACTAGTTTAGTTAGTTTGTACATTATGTACGTATGTGGCTTCGTGTTTTTTGTTAAATAAAAAAAATCCCTATACACTCGTCAGTGAAATTTTTGACCATTTGGATTTATCCGGTAAACTCCCATGTCAAAAGGGCATTTTAACCTTGAAAGGGCATTTTAACCTTGAAAGGGCATTTTCAAGAATCAATTGAAAGTAGCGCACCTCCATCAGTGGCAGCAGTCTCGTAATGTATGCTTGCGTCTATTACAACAAGCTTTAACGTTGTAATATGAACAAAGTTAGGTGTTTTGTATTCAAGTATTTGTGTTTATATGTCTGCTTGCTCAACTATGATTCTCTCTAAGATGTTGGTCTATTGGAAATATTAAAAATAATAATAATAATAATAATAATAATAATAATAATAATAATAATAATAATAATAAATCCTTTATTTTTTGTCAACAAAACAAGGAAATAAGGAAAGCTAGCAGAAAAGCAAAATTGTACAGCTTGACCAGCCCCCCCCCCCCCCCTCCCCACATCTTGTCTTCCCCTTGGAACGTACAACTCGGAGAGTTTACAGCAGTGCAAATTAGTAGCTTTATCTCAGTCCTTCAATGCTTTTCTGGTCACGAAACTCTGCCCGTAGTTTAATACAGGGACAAAATCCGCCGCTACGGTAGCCGGGGTCTACGAGGAGGCATCCGTCGCGCGTGCTTCATACAGCTGACTGCTGTGCTGGTTCGAGGCAGTGGTGTATCTAGCACCGAACCTCAATAATTCAACTATCACTCATACTTCACCTGGCATACATGGGGCTGTCGCATACGTGTGTGAAAAACTTACTTTGGCGTATTTTCTTTGAAAGATATTGAGGCTGCGATGAATCAACTCGTGTTGGGTGCAGCAATATTTGCTGCATATGTTGTACCAGTGCAGTTCCATACCTCAGGCAGTGGAGCATGGGAGTATTTATTCAGGCACCTGATATTTACTCAAACTTCTGAGACTGCTCAAGCCTTATAAATCTACCAACCCTCAAAATGAGGTGGTCAAAATTTCTGGAGCCCTCCACTACGGCGTCTATCATAATCATATGGTGGTTTTGGGACGTTAAACCCCACAAATCAATCAATCAACCCTCAAAATGAAGTGTCGCAGCAAGAGCTGAGCCAGTGCCGATTGTGCTGTTTACAATCAGACCACCTACACCGCTGTACATGGCTGCATTACAAAAAAGAAAAGCCTTACATTCATGTGCTTACGGATCATAAAAGCTAAATTCACTCCGCTGCCGCCTAACGCACATAGATTTGACAACACTTTAAAATATGATGACAAAGCTTTTGCGAGGTAACGTTCATGTGCAGCACCAATACATGCATAGTTCAAAGGTTTATAGGCTAGTCTTAAGTGCGCCCTTGCAACAATGTTCTGTTCACTTCTGTCGTGTAACTTTGACAACTGCATGTTTCATGGACCATACCGTATTTACTCGCGTAATGAAAATACTTTTTGTCTCGAAAAATTGGAACAAAGTTGGAGGTGCGTTTATTATACGGGGCAAAGTTTATGAGAATTTTTTTCAGGATAAACGAAAAATGCAGTAATGCAAAAAAAAGAAAGAAATGTGGTGGATTTCTCCTTTTAGGAATCGGTATGCCACGATAGGGAAAACTGTCCTCACGGAGGTAGTTGAGTATTTATCGTGCACTGTCTCGCCTCAGGTATGAATGCTACAGCAAAGGATTGTGAAGTCATGCGAAGAACGGCAAGCAGCTTGAAACTTGCAGCATGTTCCTCAAGCAAAAAGCACGTATGAAAGGAGCATACGCAGGACGAGTGTGGACTAACAACTGTAGCAGCTTGACACTTGAAGCGCTCTGTTCAAACAGCATGGAAGACACAGGAAACGACCGCACAAGTATGCACAGGACAAGCGCGAACAACTGCCACAATTCTTACTTCTTCGTGTGTGAGCAGCTGCTCCTTTCGTAAACGCAGTCGCAGCAGCAAGCGGAAGTGACTTTTGTGCTCTCTCTCTTGAATCATGAGTCGGATAAGCACACGCGCAGGAGAGACCACACTCCATTGAAGCAGCTTCTCAACTAAACGCGAGAGGCGAAAACCTTGACAGCATGCCGACGCGAACATGCCGTGCCGTCTTGCTACTGACGACGAAAACGTGCTAAAGTTATAGAGCTCTGAAAACTGCCAAATGCTTCATGGTGTATATAAATGGCGTGCCATCAGCGAGTTTGACAACGTACGCTCTGTGGCCTAGTGGTTAGTGCCTTGCACCGTGGTGCGTGAGGTCGCTGGTTCGATGCCCTGCATAAGAACTTCTCGTTTTTTTTCTTAGCAATTTGTTAGTCTATATTTTACGTCATATTCGTGACGGAAATACGTCAGCGGAGCCGTGGTGGACCCCGGCATAAAACACTTGCGTGGTAAAAAGTTAGGTCGCTTACGCGTACACTGTTTGGACACAGCCTATTTGTTGCACTTCACTCATCTTCAGTGGCTGATGGCGCTATCTTCTGGAAGCTTACCCCGCACTGCCCGCACATGCCATCAAAGTGCTTCGTGGCTATCTTTTGTTGCAATTGTTTAACTGCAACAGTGGTATTCAGAAAACGGAAAGCTATGTACGACAATTTTTATAGTGTAGAAAAACCAGTAAGTGAAGCCATATAGCATTGAAAAAAAATATATATATGTATATATATATAGTCGATGCAGATAGAAAAAAAAAGTAGTTTTTTTTAACTACGTACTACAAACAAGAAGAGAAGCCCCGCCACGGTGGTCTAGTGGCTAAGGTACTCGGCTGCTGACACGCAGGTCGCGGGATCGAATCTCGGCTGCGGGGGCTGCATTTCCGATGGAGGCGGAAATGTTGTAGGCCCGTGTGCTCAGATTTGGGTGCACGTTAAGAATCCCAGGTGGTCTAAATTTCCGGAGCCCTCCACTACGGTGTCTCTCATAATCATATGGGGGTTTTGGCATGTTAAACCCCACAAATAAAATCAAATCAATCAACCCCACTGCGCATGTCTAGGCGGCTCCATAATCGTGGCAGTTTCGAGCGCATCTTCGGCAACACAAAGGCGTTTAATTGTTCTGCGCTGCCACACGCCATCCAGCTTTGGAATGATCTCCCTGGCGATTTCACTTCGATCACAAATCGCAAAGCCTTTCAGCACCGCCTACTCGAACATGTCATGCTTACGTAGTTATTTCTCATTCATTCTCTCTAGATGTGTTATCTTATGTTTCAAATTGTTTAACGTTGTATTATGTCGCATTGTAGTATTGTAAATGCTGCCAAAATTTCTTTATTTTACAATAACTGACTGTTCATGTTAATTAAGTTCGTGTTTTGTGCACGCTCTTTTTTTGTTTAGTTTTTCTACTGGGGTGTTACTCTTGATTTTCTGGCAGTCGTTTACATCACAGTGCACTTTCCAGATTGTACCGTTTTGATTTCATCTTTTTCTATATGTATCACAAGTCATGTTTCACTATGTATCGCCCCCCTTACACAATGCTCCGATATGGAGCCTGTAAGGTATTGTGAATAATAAAACAAAAAGAGAATTCAATACACCTAATAAACTGGCAAAGACTTGAAAAAACTAGCAAGCTGTGAAAGAAACAGCAGACACATGTACCTCTATTCACTATCAAGTTACCAGTGCGAATGACATTGGTGGTGTTAAAATCTTTCTTGCAAACTCTAAGGTGTTCAAAATTGATGATTTTAAACACTTTAGAGTGTGCAAGCATGGCCCTTGTGCCATGAAAACCAACATAATTATAAAATTAAAGATTAACCTAATAGCTTTTTGTTGCGGTATTGCATGTTCTCATTCATCCATCTCATCGCCGTCCCTAGGCAAATTAAACGACACCTGTGGTCGTACATGTGTAGTCGGACCGACTACCTGGTACACAGCATGTCTTGGGCATTGTACTTCACGTACACGTTGAAACCATGGCCTTGCATACAATTCTCATAACCGTCAGTCACATAAATTCAGAAAAATGAAGAAAACTGAATCCGCTGAATTTCTTGGGCTCCCAGCTTTTCTTACGCAGTGAAGCTGTCTTCAATGACTCCATTGCGCTCGTAGTGCTGCCATGCGGCAGCTGTGGCGATATAGAAAGCTCTCACCATACCGTTTACTGTGGTGTGTCGTGACCAGAAAAGCATTGAAGGACTCTGGCTTTATTAATAGAAAAATGAACGGGAACTGATCAGAAAGGATGAATAAATAAGATTACCAGCAATTATACCAAGCATATTCATTGGAAATAAAAGGTATCGAACCCATTGCAACAACTTGTAATGCAACATTAAATACCGAGTTTTGGAGAATTGGAGATTCACAACAAATAAACTTTGATAAATGCCAGATTTCAGCAAAAAAAGAAAAACTTCAAAAAACACCCTCCGAATTAAAAAAAAGGTAAGCTCCGAAAACACTGAGCCTTAATTATGTGTACCGTGTGCTTTTGTTTGACTGCTGTGAAGCTGCCCATTGTATGAGGTAGCCAGGTTTCCCTCAAGTTGCTCAATACAGCTTTTTTGTCTGGTCATCCTTGCAACCTTATTGCGAAATAAACTAAATTCAGTTCAATTAATTGCCTTGCCAAATTGGGGGCAGCCTTTTTATTTCATGTGAAACATGACTATTTTGTAGTTAAGCACTGTGCAAAATATGGCCTGCTGGCCACATGTGTGGCCCATTGGCACATTTTTACAGGCACGCAGATGGCATAATATTGCTGCAATGGATGCTAGGGGATATGATTAGAAAAGCAGTTGTTTTTGTTGCCAAACCCTGTGCATTAGATCATTGGCATAAAGAACAAACTGGAGAATGTGCAGTTCTCTCCCCTTGTCATCAAAATTTACTCAGCTGGTCATCAAATGTAAACACTTCTTTTATTGTAGTAGCCTATGGCTAGCTACATCAGATTGAGTTGCGTCTCTTGAATATCTCTGCAGGAGCCTTGGTATGAATGCTGAAACTGACTCCACTGGGTCGTATGTGGCAGTTGAAGGAACCCTGGAAGCGCTCACACGAACTCGGCATGAGTTGGAGGCACTATGGAGCAACCGAAAACTTCAGTTAGACCTGTGCCTTCAACTGCGCCTTTTTGAACGAGATTCAATTGAGGTACAGCTTTCATTACACTTAAAATTAACTATGGTGGAATCTTGTTCATATGATTCTGCGTAATACATTCTGTAACATCGTATGTATTTCTTTTTGCTTTTGGCCAGCCTTACTCCTGGCCTTCCTCTTTGGTTAATATGGTTTTTGCATAATACATTTTATTTTCCTGTTCTTGTGAAAAACATATAAATGAGATTCTATTGTGTGTGTGTAGCAAACATCGAATGGATCGGAAATCTTTCTCATGAAATGGAATTTCTATGGCTCCTACGCAGTGCAGCCATTTTAGAGTTTTCAAAATCAGTGCTATATTATATACAGAGCATTTATTGCAAGGTTTGTTGTTTCTCTCTGTCTCTGAACAAGTGTCGTTATTGATCAGGTTCATTACAGCCGATCTTGGGTATATCGAACTTGAAGGGGATAGTGAAATAGGTCGATATATCAATAATGCGAAACACAGAATATGCGCATTTAAGGCTTAAATAAAGCATTTCAGGCTTTAAATAAAGCACTTCATGCTACAAGCATGAACATAACGATTAGCTCACAGTACAATAAAGAACAAGTTGTGAACTGCAAGTTACGGTGCTTTATTTCACATAAAAATAGTCCCCAACTTGTCTTGCTTCTTGTGCACCGTCAAGTTCCAGTCATCCTCAATACAACAGCGTTAATTGATGCAGAACACCGGTGCAAGCTTTGTAGCGCGACAAAAGGTTGGTTAGTGGCAGCAGCGAAGGCGGTGGCATGTTCATAACCGTACGGATACACTTCCGTGGCAACGGCATCATCGATGCAGCCGCAAACGCCTTTGTCATCATCTGCACCGATAATGTTGCTCGCTGTCTAAGATGGTGCCTGGAAACGCAGAATTCACTGAGGCTGAGGCACCGCATGTGGTTGTCAGCCGTTATGACGCCCCCGAAGTCGTCACTTGGCCCACAAGGAAAGTTTACGGCAGTGCTTTGCTTGAGGTCGCTCCAAGCGCGAGTCATGATTTTTATTGCTACATGCAGGTCAACGTTCTGTTCAACTCCCAAATGAGAATTTCTCAGGCACGAGGTGCAAAAGACAACACCGAGTTTCCACCGTCGACATGTTGGCGATATTGATGTCACTTGTGGCTTTCTAGCTGGCAGCCGCTGCTTTCAGCTGCTTTGATGCGAAAAGCTGCAAAAAGCGTAGCCTCTGAGGCATGCGTTTTAAAACCGAAAACACCATGTCACGAGGTTGCAGAAGGCCATGCTTTTCAGGTTCTCATGCCATTGTGCGCTAACAAACAAAGAAAGGAATGCGGACATTGCAACGACATTGCCAAGTCACTTAGCATTCTCACTTTGGTGTCCTTGGCAATCGGTCTTTTTGAAAAACACTACGCCCGCGCATTAAAACCTGCAGATCGCACATCGAACAAACCGGTGCACTCGCAAGCGCCGCACAACAAGCCAGATCAGTATCATGGAATAACACCCCCTTTTTGTCACCTGCGTGCAAAAAGAAATTGGAACTTGTTGGAACGCAGCCAAAAATTGATTAATATTTGCTAGGAATATGCTTTTGCTGAGCTTTGGTGCGGCACAGTGTTCGATATAGAGGATGTCCCGCTGTGCGGAAGTCCGATATATGCATGCACCGGTCCCATATTTTTGAATGGGAAATTTAAAGGGATTTCTCTACTGTTCGATATAACCAATAATTCAATATATCAGAGTTTGATATATCTGAGATCGACTGTATTGTTAGTATTTTGTTGTGAGATTCTAGTAGTATCCTAGGTGGCGGTCATTCAAGAAAACTTGGGCATTGATCAAGGGAAAGCCAAATATTTCTGGACTTCACATGAGTGAGCTTAGTGTGCATGATGCATATGTACAGTTTGAAATCTATGGATCTGCATTGGGGCCTGACACTTGTGCATTTCTTTATAGAAATGTTAGTGTGTTCAATAAGTCACATATTATGGATCTAGTGATTTTTATTCACTGCATGCCATACCTACAGTGTTTATTATCATGTTACTCTGTACCTGGGTGACAAACAGACTCGCAGAGTGAAGATGTACGTCGCTTACGACAGGACTGTGAAGACACAAGACAAGCTTTTGTGTGTCATTGTCTGCACTGTCCTGTCCCAAGTTGTGCACATCTTAGCTGTGCAATTATGAATGAACTAGCTTAGCAACATGTTATCAGGCCCTTCTTTAATTAAAACCCCGTAAAGTCTGAAAACTTTACGTAGGCTTCCTATGTGGGACACATTAAGAAGCTAGTGTCTTGTGCGTCGTGTCCCCCCACCTGGTGCTATTGGTTTTCTGACATGCTTGCATAGTGTCTATCCCACAAGTCTTTTTTCATTTATATTGAGTGCAGCTGAGCTCTCAGTTTGAGCTGTGGATGAAGGAGCTGAACCAAATGGAGCTTAGCCGGGAGCTGAGCCAAGCAGAACGGCATCTGCAGTTACATGTAGACAGTGTGGCCCACATGCAGCAGGCGGTTTTCCAGCTGTTGCAGCGCGGCCAGGAGCTGTCACAGGTAAGGCTCCTTTATTTGTTGCTCGAACCTGCTACTTTGGCATTACAACACGCTGACTGTTGCATGCAGGCCAATGTGTGCACACTTTCTTTTGCTTTGTTGCAGCAGAAGTACAAAGAGGCACAATGTGCATTTGGGTTAAAATAGACTTTCCAATATGTGCAAGGCAGTTGGTGTCAAGTGATCTTTTATGACTCAATGGAAGATAAACATTGTATATTTTGGACGGCCCTAGTGTGTGCCCCCGACTTGAAAAATGTTTTCTTTCTTGTTCCGTGCCTCTTGCTTACCTCGTAGTTTTTTAGCGCTGTGCTGCTTTTGATGTTATTCTCTGTGGCTTTTATGTTTTTGTCCACTTTTGACATCTTCTGACATGCATTGCACATTTTGTGACATTCTCACAATTTTTTTATAGTTTAGGCAACCACAAATGCTTTCATCAAAATCCCTCTGCATGCCTGTGGCTGACTGCGACAACCCTTGCTTATTTTGGTAACCTCCTTTCTTCTCTCTCATCTCTTATGTCGCATGAGTTATTCTATCTTTGTGCACTGTGAGTGCTTGTTTGTCTTGCATGGAGTTCTGCTATTGAGATCTTGCTTTAGTTCTGTTGGAAGAGTGGTCGTTGGCCGAGTGTTAGGCAAGGGTATTGGTAGGCTTGTGCGTATATTCGAATGATTCAAATATTCAAACGAATAGTAGGGTATTCGAATTCACTTTGATTTGAATTTAAATTATTGAAAATTTTGAAGTATTCGCAAAAAACGAATAATCGCATATTAATACGAATGTACTGCCTGTAAAGGTGGTTGCTTCACTGCAGTGTAGGGGTGCAGAACCGTGAAAGTGAAAGCACTCATCCAAAAAAAATCTGCTCTGCTGCGAAGCCCCCTCCCTTCAAAAGAAAAAGGGTGGGCCTTGCCACACTTTTTGAGCATTGTCAGAAAACGCTGCCGATGGGTAGTCTAGGGTACCGAGGACACGTAAGCCAAATATTATAGCGCAGCACGTGGCGTGCGATTAACAATAAATTCTCAAAGTCAACTAAAAATGTCTCTCTTCTCTCTCAGCAAATGACTCCAAGCACAAGTAACATATTTTATTTCCCCGGGCCATCCCTCCCTGCTTAGCTTCCAGTGTCTTCGTCAGGATGAGGAGAGAGAATGCACTAGCAGCGTGTGAGAAATATTTGCAACTCCGCGCGTACTGGACGGATTCTAAAATTATGTGTGACGGTGAATTCATGAGGCAATACATAAGCTTCTTCAGTGAATCCATTCCATGGCTACTTGAAAGAGTGTCACACGGTGCCTTTAAATGAAACATTATTCTCAAATCAATTCATTTTTACAAGCATAAGAGCTAGTTATGAGGGCTTATATGCTCAGAGTATATAATAAATTTTAAAATGTTATGTATTTTAAGGGTTATGACTCCCATCCCGCTGAAAGTCAAATCCTGCTACTACTCAAAGTTCTTCTGACTTATTTTGAACAAAAAAAATGGCATTTGCATAAAGGTCCTATTTCAATTAAAAAAAATATTGCACAGGGTAGTTAAGTCATAATAAATGTGCCCATTTTTCTTTATATGTAATGAATACTATTCGAATTCGATTCGAAATTATTTGGACAAAATCACTATTCTCTTCGAATTTGCTTCGAACCTAAAATTCACTATTCCCGCAAGCCCAGTATTGAGAGCTTATTCAACAATGCACGAATAGCAGTGCATGAATGCATGTATAAGCACAGGTGCCTCTTGTGCATGCATGAGCACACATCTGTGAGTTCTCTTTCAAGTAGTTGTACAGAGTTCACACCATTTAGTAGGAGCTTAAATCACAATGTACAGTCCAAGCAAAAACCTTCTATTGGGGCAGTCAAACTATGGTAGTGTATAGAACTCGAAAAGTTTCACAATATATCATATTTACTCGCATAATCCTCGCACTTTGAAAACTGATGAAAAGTTCAGGGGTGTGAGTATTACGCGGGGAAAATGTTTTGCAAGAATGTACAGAGGGAAAAAGAAAACGAAGTCGCCGCAAATTGGGATTCTCACGTTAGCAACTAACTGCAAGCTTTGAGAAGTACTAGCCGAGACTTGCCTCAACAATAAAACCACAGGTTCAACACAAGACAAGATTTATTTGAGACACAAAAGCCGGAGGCAAATACTGGAGAATGGGAATACCATACGCAAAGCTTGTGGGCATTGTGGGCGTAGTGTTAGTGTTTGTCACTTAACAGGAGCCCGCAGAAGGTTAGCGTACAATGTCGACCTTGTGCGAATAGCCATTTGATATGAAATTGTCCGCAGTTGCCTTTTGATTACCATCCATCCCAGTCTTAAGCACATGGAAAGCTCAACGCGTTTTGGTGGCTTTCAGCGGCCGTCGCCAGTAGACCAGTAGCAAACACAAAACTCGTCTGCTCCAAAGGGCTGACCAGGTGCACTGATGCCATCGTCAATCACTTTCAACTTGAAAGCAGCTGCGTAGCTTCTGTATCACCCCATAGCGTAAGAACACATTGGACACAATCTACAAAACATGCCGCAACGCACACTTGCCACTTTTGCTTGGCTTGGATTGGATTGAGGCTCCATGCAATGATAGTACACTTGATGCTTAACAGATGGCGTGCACTATCATCATCAGTGGCTGGAACGATCAGATGACATTACTGCAACAATTTTTGGGCGTGTGATAATTACCCGTGGGAAGAAAAAAAAACATTTTTATTGGGCAATGTGGGAGGTGTGAGCATTATGTGAGTGCAAGAATTACTCTTGCTAGTACTACTAGTGCTGCCTCTACCATGAGCTCATTGCAATAACTTTTATTTTCACCTGTGAGCTGGCTAGCAACAGTTTTGCAAGGCACAAACAGGTTCTTTAAACCATTAAAAACCCTTGTAAGTAGAAAAGTATGTTTTCAAAGTCCTTGGAAGTTGAGATAGTCATCTTTCCTTGGAAACCCTTTACTTTCTGAAGCAATGCTGTTTAAACCTGACTGTGTGACTATGTAGCCCGCTTTTTGTTGTTCGTAAACATTAATCCAGCAGAATCAATGTTTTAGAAACAATATGCTGATGCAATAATATATACGTTCTTCTTGATACAGCTTTTGCAGAACTGGAAACTGCTACGTAAGGAACAAGAGGCAATTTAACTGGCTTTTGCTGCTGTCTCTCCCACCAAGTTTATGCCACCTTTTTGTGCCTCATCCTGTCGTTGATTTCACTTCTATCCCTGTCACTCTGTCTTGTCCTGTATTCTCTTTCTCTCAGTTTGAATTCTGACGACTCGACTCTTCCTGCTGCATTCATTCTTTTTTTTTTTTTTTTTGTCAATTGAGCAGAACACAAAGTGCAGTGTAGTGAAGCTGCCTTTCTTTGTTTGACGTCTTCCAATCTGGTCAGCAGCTCAGTAAACATTTTTTGTTGTGACAGTGCTGCAGTTAAAATAAAAAAGGAGCAAAAAAAAGCCAGTGTGCGATATGTTTCAAAGCAGGCGTATTTTCAATTTTACTTGATTCCATTGTTTACTAGCTATTCTATGCCTGGAACAAATCATAGCCAATTTTCATGCTGCTGTCAAGAGAGGAAGAAATGAATTAGCCTGCTGGGGTAGAGGCTTTGGGCTCTGCCATTTGCTGCGGCCTTAATGTCGACATGGCAGTTATGAGGCAACGTCCAGCTACTCGGCCGTACGGGTATCAGATTAGCACTATATGCTATCAGGACCTGCTGTAGGTATGTGGGGTGTGGCTATTGGTTCGTATACTGTATTTACTTGTGTAATGGACGCACTCGCGTAATAAGCACACCCCCAACTTCAGTTGTCAAAATTTTAATATTTCTTTTCCCCATGTATAAATGCACCCCCTACATTCGTCCGCTGCAGTCCCGCTAACCAACACCTGGCGCTTCCTTGACCATTGGATCTCTTCTCTCTTTTATGATTATGCTTACCCCCTCGGCCACCTCGTCTCGCTTCCCCCCTTCCTTTGCCCGCTGCTGTGCGTCGTATAGGTTTTCTTTTCTTTTTGTGTGCGGCAAGTACCCAGTGTTTATTTAAATATCTAAGCGCCACAGCAGGGTTCACGAACGGTGCGAGGGTGGAGACATTGCAGCGGACAAGCACACAGCGAGTGAAGGTCACGAAACTTCCCGCACTAATCGACGGTAGCTTCCTGCAAATACAAAACTTTAAGGCCCAACTACATGCACGCAAGTTTCGAGCGATAACGGCAGGATTTGCTGTCGCTGTGGCTGTCACAAAGGATTATTCGTCGCCATCGCGTCACAGGTTTTTGGAAAACCAGAAAGAAATCGATAGTCGCCCAGAAAAGACCGTGGCTATTTCCGCAACATGGTCCCCGATTCTCGCTTTGGTTACAATTGAGGCAGCCATTGTATTTTATCGTTAATCTTGTTACTAACGGTTTGTTTTGATGCTTTTGTGCTAGCTTGCTGCAATGTTGGTTACTTGCTACAATGTCAACGGTGGTGGCGCGGTCGTCGTGAGAGATTGCCATGAAGTTGGCAAAGTACGTAGTGGGGTCATAGCGCACGCTTCTGGGTGCCCCTCGAGATCAAAGCAGCTGCCACTATTGGGGTTAAACGATTGTGAGAAAAAATGGTCGCGAAATGCTTTTATGGTGTGCATGGGTGGCGCGGGAACAGCTTGCAGAAAATAGTGCCTTAAGGGGAGATGCTACTCGAAAAAGGTTTTTTTTTATTTCATAACCCAGCTCCTTGAAATTTTAGGTGTTAGTAAAGCTTGCAGTGCTGATTTCATAACTGCAATTATTTGTTTGATAGCTATAGTAGTTCCGGAGTTACTACAACTTTGATATCAAAATATAGTGTTTTTTGTGCACATAATAAAGCTTACTAAAAATTTTCACACAGAATTGCAAAATGGCTCATTCTGCTGCACTTGAGCAGTACAATACAGAAAAGTACCTCAAACAGAAAATTTATTTGCTACAT